CTATTCTGGAGCAGAGCAAACACGGACCTCTTAAAACATTTGAGATGGGATCAGTTGCCAGGGAAGAGTAACCATCAACTGTTGACCGGTCACACCCACCGTAATATGCTCATTGTCATTATCGGGTAAACGGAAAAATCCGTAGACAATTCAGATTTTAAATAATGGCTTAACATCGTCAGTCAGCATTCGACTTAATGATGACTTTTAACGAAACTGTAGATATCCTTGTTTCATCAACTTGTTTGATAGTAGCTTGCCTAGTTTTCGAAATTATTCGTACGTGGAGCATGCTCTTGCGTATCGAATCACCTGGGCGACATAAAGCCCACATGCAAGTGATAAGGGTATCTATATTGCTACATAAGTAAGGGAAGTTGATGATAGAAAAGTTGTAGTCACCACATTAATCATAAAGTTTTGTTGTTAGGTTACCATTAACGTCTTTTTGTAGTAAAATATCTAGAAATGAAACAGGTGTGTCAGACATTGTGGTTTATAACGGGGTGCAATTGGCACCCATGGGAATTCCGACAGATTGTTGGAAGACCTGATCTCCAAAATCAATACACATGTAATTATTGTCAATCAGAAACTCAAGCATCTTTTCAATATCTACTTTAGAGTACTAATGTACAATTAGACTGTTTTTCAAACAAATATATTATGTTTTTTGATGATTCACTCACTAATATTATATCCGTTAAAACTTCCTGTTCAATACATCGCACATTCTGTTATGTCTTAAATACTTTCTTTCAAATTATATTAGCCAGCCAAATCTGAAGTGCACATTTATAATCACTAAGTCTTGGTATATCTTGGTAACATGCACTTGATATACACTTATTACTGTTTCTTGATTTTAACCAACATTGATACAGTTTGCACCTTTTTCTAATTAATAATGCAAAGCACTTTTACAAGCATTCATTCTTACTAAGTGCTTCTTTACGAAAATTAATATTCGCTTTTTCTACGTCCTGACCTTTATGAAAACACCATATTTTAGCACCGTAGCACAACACATTAAGCATAAGTGTGGGCATAAAAATGCCAATCTTTTATTTTGCTATAACTATGCTTTTCGTAATTTATTTTTATTAATACAGAAAAAAACAAAACGAAAGTATGTAAATGCATTCCTATAACATGGCAATCAATCATAAACGCATATCATGTAGATTTTACTATGGGATTTTATTAATAAACTGAAAAATTAAAATCTCATCTCTTTCATGTTTAGGCAGGAAAAAATTTTCCATACCTACTACATTTTTAGTGGATTATGATATTGTTTTAATCTTATTTTTTCTTTATGAATATCCGATGAAAATTAAATAATTATCAAAGTAAAATGTTTATTGATTTATTTTCTTATTTACTTTAGCACTTTTTAATTTGTTGCCATAAAAGTGCCTCCTTGACCGCATTGTAATAGAATGTAACATTAACTTTAAAATAATACATGGATATATATTATTGTTTTTGTTTCCAGATCCAGGATGTTTGAACAAAACTTCACCTAGGTAAATGTCGTATCATTACTGCAATATATCATTTAGATTAAAATTAAAAATTAAATTCAAAGAAAGGAAATCAGATCATTCAAACCAACAATTATCTTAAAAGTTATAAGATTTTTTGTACATATGTTCTTATTTATTCTTCTAGAAAAGAAAAATGTGCTGCAAAAAACAATATAATGTATTTCAAATCCTCTAAGAGGTCTATCTCCGGTAAAAATAATTATTTTAATAAATTAGCACTGAATGCTCGTTATTTCAGCAAAAATACACCAAGTACAGATGGATCACCACTCAAGGTTTCATTACCTGTAATCATCATACCTGTAATCATTGTTGTGATTTTGCTGACCATAGGAATCGTCTATTTGATAAAAAGAATCAAAACGAAAGGTGAACTCATTTACAGATTATTTTAATAATCGGTTACTATAAGTATTACCTTTTTCTATTTCTTCTTTAGTTACTTCGCTGATATTTTTCAAAAAAATATGCGTTGTATGTACCCAAGATTGATGATCGGGGGGGGGGGGGGGGCATTGTTTTTAATCTATCTGTCAGTGAAGTATGAAGATAACGAACATCATTCAATCTCGAAAGTTTATCTTATTTTAGCATTGTTCATACTTTTACAGCATTGAAATATGAAGATAACGAACAGTAATCAAGCTCTAAAGTCCATTGAAACAATACAAATTTGGAGCAGAGCAGTTATGGACCTCTTATAACATCAGAGGTGGGATCAGGTGCCAGGGAGGAGTAAGCATCCGAAATCTGAAAGATAATCATACTTGGGTATATTTACATTTAATTAGTTAATGAAAAGGCGATATAAAAATGTCCAGGAGTTGTTAATTCTTAAAAAGATTGATTTATTGTATTATACAATGTACATGTATTATACTGTTTTATGTCCCATTCGAGAATTTTTCATTCATATAGAGAAGTCGCCATATACCGGTGAAGGGCCTCAAGTTTAGACCTATACTTAGGGTCATTGAGAAGTGATTACCGGCCGCCAGGAGGCGGTCGTTTATTTGATATGAAAGTTTGAAGTAGTCATGCGTTTCTGCGGAGTTAAAAAAAAAAAAGTATTTAACATTCATATAGAATATTAATAAAGAGTGTCTAAATGTTTAACAAAAACGCATAATAATTATAAAATTAAAATTGTATAAATAATTGAGTAAATGTATTACCTGGACGAACTCTGAAGTGCGGAGAATACGCGTGTTGGGCATTTTCTAAAGCAAAGACCGAGAAATATATACATGTATGTGATCAATATTTCTTTCTCTATTTAGCAGGATTTATTGTTTTTGGTTTAAAGGCAGAGCTTTTAAGCACCGCCTTCAAAAATACCTGGCCTGTGTACCCCTGTCAATCAAATGCATTAAGGTACAACGTTGGTTGCTAGAACTTGATTGACATTTACTTACTAGTCCTTGTGTATACCCTGTATACCTTGTTTTTTAACTAATGGCGAACTTCAAATTAACTTTTGATCCTTTGATATTTACCACACAAGGTATAAACAACAGAGAAGCTGCATTACTATGGAATTTTTAGCTTGATAATATATGTATATACACACCTTTAGTATTTGAAAAAATTATGATATTCTTTATGATAATATAAAATTTTATATCAAAATTTGGTATAATTTTTTCAAAGCTGAACAAATATTTTGAATAATAATATTTTTTAATGGGTGGGGATGCTTTGACAAATATTCAATTACAAATTAATAAAAATTATTGAGATTAAACTCTATTTTCAACTTTTTATTTCTAATTTAAAATCATCTCAAAAAACCAACACAGGTAAAGTTTGACTTCTTGGGTATTCTACTGTGTATTAAATCACTTCCAGTGTATAGGGATTAGGAGACAAATGACCACAGGTAGACTGCTAGCCCTCAAGGCATTCACACCTGTACAAAATAAGCCCCTTCCTCACCTGGAATTTACCAGCCGGTGAAAAATCTCTGCCTTTAAAATGACGTATATATAAATATATACATATCCTTTGGGAATTTTTTAAAAATATGATAAAATTTTAATTTCCTGAAAGAAGAATATTACGAGATTTTTGCTCCAGCAGACGAGGATAAAGCGCGTTTTACAATGTGCCAAGCATTTTCCCACCAACAACTCAACACCAAAACAAAGAGATTGCCGTGGCAGATCTAGAGGGGGTTGTGGGGGTTTCAACACCCTCCTTTGGATTTGCTTAAGAGAGAGAGAGAGAGAGAGAGAGAGAGAGAGAGAGAGAGTCCAAATATTTATGAAGAAAATTAGGTTGTTGAAAACTAAAATCTGCACCTGCAATGTCGCGTGCACTGCTTTATTTCACCGGGATAAATTAACAGATTAATATCAGATATATTAATAACAGATCACGCATTTCAGTTTGTTGCCTCATAAAGGAGACACTTGATTTTCGGCCGATTTTTGACACTTGCGTCAATAATTTTGTTGTGGTTATTTATCGTATCAATCCATATCGTAACAGGGTACCTTAAAGTTTCAACCAAAAGACTCGTGATCTTACGTCTAGTGAATTAGTCCGTCGTAGAATTTACCCGGTGCGAAAAACAAGAATCGAACCTGGGCCCCGATCACGAAGCGAACGCCCTATAACAAGGCTACCGTGACCAGTCTTTCAGAAATTTGATAAACTGCTCTGAGTACATACAAAAAGAAGTATTGTAATAAAACCATTAATACTGCTCTAATATAATCAAGTTTGTGAGCTCTACCAAGGGGTCAATCTTGTTTCAAAGGCACATCTTTATATATGCATGTATGTAATGTGGTAGATGGTTGAGAGGCAATATGATATACATGTATGTTTAATTTGATTTTAGAAGCTGACAAATCAATGAAGCGTCGGGAAATGCAACCTCTTTTGGAGACAAAAGGAATTCCTTTTGGTAAATGCAAATAGTACACTTAATTATGATTCAACGCTTCTTGTGAATATAAATTTAAGGGCAGATGATACAAACAAAAAAATGGATGCCTGGATTGGTAGATAAAAGCTATTTGATTGTTAATGATGCAAAGAATAAATTTCTAAAATATTAAGAAATTGTAAACCTTCTATGATGTTCAAAATTCTACCTTTCTGCAACCATCCTTATATTCTATACAACATTTTATCACCATGAATCCGATTATTGTGAAACTTTGAATGAAATATGAAAATCTGTGCGGTTAAACTTATTTATTTTACTAATATAAGCATGACTTAAGTTGTCATTTTCAAGATTTGTGATAAAAGTTTGTTTGTATCTTCTGTCCTTAAACAAAAAAAAAAACACTATTAAACAAGGATATTTGGTTTAAATTACAAACATGAATAATTTTTGGATTATTTCTTTCAATTCTTATGTCAGTATTGACAGAGAATTTCACATTTGGGGAAACTGTCAGCTTAGCTAAGGAAGAATAGGCACAACTTTTTCTGAAGATGACCTTTTCTCTATTTTCAGAATTTCATAGAACGATCAGTTACTTAAATACTGATGTATTCGTCCTAACCGAGACTTATAGGAGGGCTGTTGGAATTTTAGAAACACAAGGATGGATTACACTCATTGGACCTCCTGGATCTGGTAAAACCATGACTGCTGTTCAACTGGCTAAAAGAAAACTTGGTTGTTCAGGTTCAGCTCAAGGAAGGAAGTGCACTTTTTACTTTTGCAAATCTCTCAGTGAGATTTCTGGACTAAGTAATGCCAAAATAGAGCCATACATTATTCTGGATGACTTCATGGAGCAGTATAGATATTATCCCTCAAAACTATCAGAGGATAAAGATAATTTTGACCAAATCTTCAAAGAGTTCATAAATACAGGACTAGTTCACGTAATTTTAACCATCAAGGAAGATACATGGAAGATCTTTTCAAAGGATGCTCTATATTTGGAGATTTTTAAATCAAATACACATTTGAATCTTAAAGAAAAACCATTGACTGCAAAAGAAAAGGAGTATATGTTAAGAAATCATCTAAGAATAAACCACATTGACGTAGCAACTAATAAGAAAGAAGAAAGTCTAAAGCAAGGCCAAGAAGATTCTCGAAAAATGAATATCATTCAAGACATTGTTACCGATTTAAACGGTGAGTCTGCAATAGTAATTCACAAAGACACAATACAGAAAATCACTCGTGATTTAAAAGATGACTTTACATTTTCTGTCCCAGTTATAATTGACTTAATGTGTGTTAGCAGATACATGATGAAAAATCGTGATCACATATTGTCCAAGACATTTAGAGAAACTTTAAAAATACATGTAACAAAATGGATGAAATCTGAAAAAGATGACGACAAGAAAAGTATCTGTGTGGTTCTCTTTGTTGGTTTGTGTGGTGGAGTAGTGTCCTTAGACGATTTCCATAGAAATATGAAAGGGAAGGTCTATGCAAATGTGTGCAAGAAATATAAGGTTGAACCATGCGATCGACTGGAAGTTGAAAATATGATGAAAAAGAATGCCCGTGTACGTGCATTCGTTTACTCTGAGACAAATACATCTGATACATATACGTTCCATCATGATTCTCTTCTTGATTTCTTTCTTTTTTACGTTTGTGCTGATGATGAAAATTTTTTTATTGAGAATGCAGATATAGATTATATATTAAGTCGATGTAGCTTGCCAGAAGAGAAAATAAAGCAGAGGATTGCAAAAACAATAGGACCTACTCTAGAAAATGTTGAATTGAAAGCAATAGATAAATTGGTAGATAGGATTCGTGTGGAAATAGAACAAGGGCATTCTATTCCAAATTGGAAAAACCATGTTTTCCGAAATCATGAGACTTTTAATAACAAATGGAATAATGTGTCAAGTGCCTCTAACTGTGAGAAGTCGAATACAATAGGAGGAGATCCTCGTGTTGAAGAAGCGAAGACAAGAAATAGAATTAATAAGAGAAATACGCAAGACTTTCATGCATTTTAAAAAGAGGAAGAAATGCTTTTAAAATATCGATGTAATGGAATAGAAGCTTGCAAGATATAAAATACATAATATGCTTCTTATATAACCTCAGCCAAAGTATAAATTAATTGGTTTAAGGAAATTCGCAAAGTTCCTGGTTATCGTATAGAATTTTTCAAGAACTCTTGAGTAGGTTTAATTGTACTAAACAGGCTATATTCTGGATCGTTTAACCTACCAATCCAAAAAACACAGTATGATTTCTTGAACAGAATTCTGATTGGGCAATTTTAAAACGGGGCAAAATTGTTTCCAATTGTGAAAGGGCGAAAATAAGACGGGGCGAAAATAACCCTGTATACAGTATATACATTATATACATTATTGTATCTTCATTTCTTATGACTTCTAGAAATTTTGGCTGAAAATGTATATATCGGAACAAGACATGGATATACCGGCACCGATCATTATTTCTGAGTTGCTTCCCTTAACAGCTAATTTTTTTTTTAGTTTTTATTTTTTCATCTTAATACAAACATACTGCATTACTTAATTTTTTTCTTTTTTACACACCATTAGCTCTCACTTTCTCACTCACACATATACATTTTGGTATGTGAAAGCATAAATGTTCTTATATCTATAATCTTAATAGCTAAATATATATATAATCTATATCTATAATCTTAACAGCTAAAATTGATCAAGAGACTGGTTGATTGTTTTTTTTATCATGAAACTGACTGAATTGATTGAAACACATTGTCATAAAAATATTGGCATGGTTTTATTTTTATTTTTTATTCGTAGTTACTAAATGCTGCTTCCTTCATACAATCTAAGAACTGTTCTCAGTCGAACTACCTTTCAGTATATGTCACATCTTTGCCCTTCCCAGCATACTGAGCATAACTATGGTAAATGACGACCAATTAGCTCTTTGTCCCTGAATACAATGTACAACAAAGCCATTACTACTTTTCTTTCTTGCTGTATAGATGATTCTACCCGTTGAAGGAAGTACACGTGCTTTTATTTACCCTTTATAACATACGCTTTATTGGTTTCCACCGCTTAGAGAATTCAACACGGGGGATCACTCTCAATCACTATTTTATAAGTGAAAAACCCAAGTATTAAACTTTTTTCTCTCCGGAAAACCATGACTTGCCAATGTCCTTAAGCTATTTTTGTTCCGATTACGCATACAATTTTAAACTTGAAATAGGCAAAGATAAAAATACTCTTTCTTTACCATATTGATAAAGCAAAATGGAATGTTAAAAGATAAAATAAAAAGATAAAAATAAAATGTAACTTTTGATTCCTTCAAAGAAGAGACCTGATATTTGGACACATGTTTAAGGAGTGTCCATTTCTTATCTACAATAAAGATCAAGGTCATATTAACAAGTTAAAGGTCATATTATGACGTCATCTACTGATTCTTTTTAAATTCTTGAAATCTCCAAAATATCTAAGAAATTGTCATTCAATTTCCCTCATTTTGACATACATTTTAATCTTAAAGTTTGTTCTATTTCATTCTTTTGAAGGTTCGCTAAATTTGAATTATGCATTTTCTTCTAGGAGATTTCAAATTGTAGCATATTTATTTGTGAATTTGGAATTCCCGAGCTTTGTGTGTTCTATTTTTACATCACAATACATCATAAAGTACTTATATATACCGGTACTAATATATTTTACTGAACTGTAGTAACAAAAGTTTTACCATTATAAATTGCGTCACTTGTATTTATAACATATATCAAATGGTACTTTTTAAAAAAAATGTACATAATATTGAATGTCTCTTTCAAACAAGTTCTCACAGGGGTCTAATAGGCTATATTTCAAGCTATGTTATGGCATGTCAAACGTTGCAATATTCGATCTTTTCCATTTGTATTGTATAATTTTCCATTTATATTCCATAATTTTGCATTGTATAATTTTCGATTTGTATTGTATAATGTTTATTTGTATTCTATAATTTTCCATTTGTATTCTATAATTTCTTATTTGTATTGTATAATTTTTCATTTGAATTGTAAAGTTTTAATTTGTATTCTATAATTTTTCATTTGTATTGTATAAATGTTCATTTGTATTGTATAAATGTTCATTTGTACTCTAAAAATTTTCATTTGTATTGTATAAATTTTCATTTGTATTGTACAATTTTTATTTGTATTCTATAATATTGCATTTGTATTGTATAATTTTCCATTTGTATTCTATAATTTTTCATTTGTATTTCCATTAATTTCCATTTGTTTTGTATAATTTTACGATATAAATGGAAAAGCATACAATACAAATTGAAAATTAAACAATACTAATGGAAAATTATACAATACAAATGAAAAAAATAGAATACAAATAAAAATTTTACAATGCAAATGAAAAATTATAGAACACAAATATAAAATTTTACAATATAAATGGAAAATTTTATAATTAGGGATGTCAACGAATATTCGAGTACTCGACTATCGTTCGATCATACCGACTATCGACTGAAATTTCTTTAGTCGGTTATTCGTTAAAAATGTGTTAGCTAAACGTAATTTTAAATTCAAGGTACTAAACTTGGATTTGCCCATTTCATTTATATACAGACCAATGTTCTCGTAATGAAATATACGGAGATAACGAACAGTATTCAAGCTCAAAAGTCCATTAAACAATACAGAATAGAAGCAGAGCAAACACGGACCTCTAAACATCAGAAGTGGGATCAGGTGCCATGGAGGAGTGAGCATCCCCTGCCGACCGGTCACACCCGCCGTGTGCTCCTTGTCATGATCGTAAGTAAAACTCAGGGTATGTTTTAACTGTTCAAAGAAAATTATTTGTATGTCGATTTATGTTCGACATATATGCCTCCAAAATCTAGTTTTTGAATACTTTAAGAGATTTCAGGATGGAAAAACAGTTAAAAGTGCATTATCAAGGCTATGTGAAACTGAACTTGTATTCTGCAGTGGGACTTCAAGTATGATGTATCATATGCCGAATCCGTCAAATATACATGTAGTAAACAAAGTCTTCAAGTGAAACTTTTCTTAAGTAAGTTCTCCGCAAAATGCCAAAAAAAAAAAAAAAAAAAAAGAAAGAAAAAAGAAAAAAAGCAGAGCCGGAAATAAAAATGTTTCTATCACAAACATGATTATCAAGGATTGTTTACCACTGATTGTTGTAAATGGAGAGGACGTTCAAGAATTGTTTGGTTTTGTAGATTCAATTATAAAGTTTCAACCTGCAATTCCATAAGATCTGACGTGATGCAACTATTCATAAAGAATAAACAGCTTTTACAAAATTCTCAATAGTAGTCTCGTTATGAAAAGAAAGGACAAATGCAAGCGTTTGATATCCTGCATTTAGATATAATGTGCAGTAAATATTATATTAATTTTGAAATCAAATGCATTGAATAAATGTAGTTGTATAGTATTTACAGTACTACGTAAATGTTTACGAATCAGAAATTCGTTGTATAATGGTGATAGCGTATGTTAATTATAGTACAACTAGTCTATTAAAGACAAATAGTGAAATGACATGAAAAATTAATTTAAATTTCAACGAATATTCGACTATCGTTCGACTAAAGCCTCCGACTATTCGACTAAGCTGTCCGAATAAAATTGACATCCCTATTTATAATACAAATGGAAAATATACGATACAAATGGAAAAGATCGAATATTGCAACGTTTGACATGCCATACTATGTGGACAAAGCATTTTGGTTGATTTTCTTTTATTTTAAATGTAAAGAGAGATTTTGTATTTTAGAATAAAATATCGTTTAAAAAATTGAATTTGAGAAACAGTTTGATCTAAACTGTCTTGATGTACCTAAAACTAAAATTCTATGGTAGCACCCAGGAATTTAACTTCGTTTTCAAATCAGATATTTTCCTCTTTTTGTCGTAGACATAAAGCTTGAAATTTATCGTGATTGGCTCTCATTTGAATATCTCTAAATTTATCGTGATTGGCTCTCATTTGAATATCTCTAAATTTATCGTGATTGGCTCTCATTTGAATATCTCTAAATTTATCGTGATTGGCTCTCATTTGAATATCTCTAAACTACTAGACAAGGATTCAGCAACTTGGTCTTCATTTTTTTTTTTCAGTGCGATAATGTCATTGCTCGACTTTGAAAGAGTGTTATCATCGGCATAGTAATGAAGATCACAATTTCATCATCAATTGAAAAATATCATTGATTAATCACACATGTATTACAAATGATAAAACCAATCATTTAACCTTGTGGAACACTATACAAATTCTATGAAATTTCCGATTTTTATAGATTTTTTTTCAGTTGCTTAAATAGCTTTTCTTTTAGACTAAAAGCTATCCGCATTGCTCATTATTGACCTGAAAGAAAATTTAACCAGTAATGAAATAGATACATGTAGTTTTTATATCCTAGTCAACAATTACAAAATGACGTGTTTTACAAGTCATTTGATGTGTGTACTGAAATATCGTGATTTAGAGAAACTTCAGGTAAATAAAGCTGAAAAGTCCTTTTTTTTTTTTACTTAAAGGTTCTATGAGAAAGCATAAAGTTTTACATAATGGTGTTGCTATGGAAAAGGTACATCGGTAAAGAAGTAGAAAGTTAAAAAACTACAAAGAAACATATAACGGAACAAGCTTCGAAAGCATGCTTTGGTGTTTAACTTAAAATTCTTTTTTTTTAAATTTACAATTGTTTATTTGTTAGACTTAATTGTCTGAAAAAAATCACCAACGCAATTTTGCTACACTTTTGCAACCCATGGGGCAAAGAAAAGTTAGATAAAATAGAAAAAGATTACCTCATTTTTTTTTCTAAATCTTAAATGAACAACTCCAAATTTGTGGTTTATGGAGTTACTGTTAAATACCCACGGTCAATTTTTGTAAACCTTAAAATGGCGTTGTACAGGGCAAAGCATTTAAAAACCCATGAGAATATAAGTACACATACATGTATTACATCATGATGTAATAATCTTCTTATTTTTTATAGGTGGTGTATAGATAGGTTTTCTACACACATCTGGATAAAATCGGTACAAGATATATTTTCAATTCATTGGACTGTCCTCTATATGGTTTCATAAATTTAATATCTTAAACTGGAATAGGTCTATTGTTAAGGAAACTTTCATAAACCAATTTGTACAAGAATGAGTAGTATTGTCCAGCTAAATGTATTGATTATAGAATTTAGAAAACAAATTTTGATCTCGACATTATCTTTTGAGTTAACTTGGAGATTTAAGAATTTGATTTACAAAACTACGAACATGTAATCATCGTCTTTCAATTGAAACAGGTAGATTGAATAATATTGACAGAAGTTTAAGAAAATGTAAAATGAGTAATTGAAGAAGAATTAGTGCGGAATTTCATTATGTTATGGAGATTTGTTAACGTTATGGAATGTAAATGTACTTCTAGAATTACAGAAAGTATTGCGAAAATCCCATCTTCAAAATCTTCATGGAGTTTTATGAGCCCATGAATTTATAAAATCTTTAGAAATTCTAAAATCCT